GCAGCCAGAAATCACTTTTCAATTGGCAGTATGTTAAAATGTGTTTTTGCTTGTGTCTTCTGGCTGAAAAGTTTCTTAATTGATTAAGTTTCTTGTTCATTATTAGGCCAGACATATTTTTCTTCACTATATTTGTTTTTAACTTTTAACAGTTTGAGAACAGAGTTAGAGGGCTTTTTTTTTTGGTTAACTCCACTAGTCATGCACTTGCAAGTCCACATGACATTCAGCTACTGCCACTCCTATAGCTAATTTGTTGGCCATTTCAATGGCATCTGAGCAACCTTTATCTGCTTAGGAAGTAATGTCTCTGGTTCATACAGAGTTAGCTACTTTTATGCACTTTCTGAATCACCTGATTACTTCCCTCACATAACATGTGAGGGTTTGCCTGAACATGATGAGGAGAATTCGAACAGACTGTTTCTCCCTTCTGCCTGTGCCTCACAGTTGCATGTCTTTTCGTGGATGTGCCCAGGCCTCCTTCCCATTTCTTGAATTAATCAATCAGGTTTATGTTTTATCCTTATCTCCCATTTCCTATGATTCTACTCCTGCACTTCTCAGTGACTAGCCTTTGGGTCAGTATTTAGTGCTTCCTCCCTCTCTACATATCCGGGTTCATGCAAGTCATTCTGGAGACCAATTGTGTTCAAGTGTCAGTATGCCTCGACTCCCACATACTCTGGACAAACATACTTTGGCATATTATCATTCTGATTTTCCCTCTTTAGACTCACAGTTTTGGGAGTCACTTGCCCCTTTGTGGGAATAAGACCCCAATATTTTGGTGTATTTTTCCCAGCCTCATTTTTCCTGTATTAAGCTCAACTTTTCTACCATTCCTTGTCCTCTCTATACCTGTTGTCTGAGGCTATTCATCACTCTCCTGAGGGAATTTCAATGGCAACTCAGAATCTTGTGTTTTCCACATTAGCACGCCTCTCTACTTCTGCCCCGGCTTTGCAAATGTGGTTGATCTGTTGTTGGGATCTTTTGGGTTTGGGAGCCTTTTTTCTTGGGTTTGCTTGCCACTCTGCATGACTTGCACATGGCACCTTTTCTATGCCAGGAGGTTTTGGGGGACATTCCTGACTCTCTGGAATTGTCCAGGTTTGAGTCATCCTTATTGCATACCTCCCTTTCCTCTTGACCTCCAATTTATCCCAAACTCCTTCTGTATCTGTTTGTGTGTCTTACCCTTCTACTTCCTCTCTCTTACCAGTTCTGGCCTCCCATATTCCTGATGTTCACTGTTAGTCTTTGGGGTGCCATCTTCAGTACTACCTGTGGTCTCTGTGTTTGTTTTGTTGGCTTGAGACCTGTGGGAGCCTGGCTTCTCAGCTTTTCCCACATTTGGAGGAACTTTGCCACAAACTCTTGGGTTCTGAAGGTGGTTTCAGAGGGTCTGGTCCTCTTTTTCGATTGTCCTCCTTCTTTATTTCTGTATATCATTTCCTTCCCTTCTTCTCAGGATCCTGTTGCCAGTCAGCATTTTTCAGAGGTGGTTCAAGACTTGCTTTGCAAGGGTGTCATCAGACAGGGAGATCCCTCTTATCTGGGTTTTTATTTCCATCAAATTTGTTGTCCTCAAATAGACAGGGGACTGGTGCCATATCATTGACCTGTCAGCTCCAAACAACTTGTTGGTCCTCACACACTTCACCATGTAGTCCTATCTCACCCTTTGTTGGGTTTTCACTCCTTGGTCTGTGGATAATGAAGTTAGATGTGTACCTCAGCTCCTTACAGCTGTTTTTAGGTGTTTACACATCATCTGCATTCCCAAGATCTTCGTTTCCACCTTTATATGAACAACTGGCTATTCTAGCTTTCTCACAGGCTGATTCTACTTTACATACTCAGTTTCAACTCAGAAAAGCAGCTTGGGTTGGTTGGTGAAGGTTGAGAAGTATTTCCTTACCCCATGCAATACCTAGTTCATCTTGAGATGTTGTTCAACTCCCTACTCACTTGGGTCCAACCTTCTCCCCTTCGGTTGAGAGCTATGAAGCACCTGGTTTGCAACCTTTCCTCTTGTCCTTTTTCTAGTACAAGAAGGTTCTCTCTCTTCTGGGGACATGGACTTCTTGGGAATCCCTTCTGGTTATGCCCACATGCATCATCTTTAGTGGGTTTTGTTAGACCAGTGGGGTGCTTATCTGTATGCTCGGAAGAATTTGGGGCAATGGGCTCTCCCAGAATCCTCTCTCCATATCAGTCTATTGCAGCTCCTTCAAACTTTTGTTCATTTCCTTCTGGGCCTTCATGTTCATTTGGTGATGGTGCATTTTTTGGGCATTGGATATCCTGTATTGGGCTTACAGCCATCAGATTCCTTTGTTGGCTTGTCATATTCAAGATGCCCTGAATCTTGTCATAGATCATTTATCATGTCCCAACAGGATTCTCCCTATGGAGTGATCACTAGACCCATGGATGTTTCAATTCTCAGCTCCCAATGCTTTGGTCTCCTGTTCCACATCATTTGGCTGTGGATGCTCTGTCAGGATTAGTTGTGTCTCTACCTGTATGCTAACCCTCCCATTCATCTGAGTTTCTGGGTTCTTTCCATCATCTAGACCACTCCATGTCAGGATCTCCATACTGACCAGCCCAGCTGTGGTTTCCACTTCTGTGCTGACTACTGGTGTTGCCTCCTCTTCCTTTCTCTCTTTCCCCTGACTCTCCTTTGTCAGCCCCAGTCAGGTGTGTGTCATCTGTCTGTTTTTCCACTCAGGTTTCATGCATGGCTTTTGTCCAGTTCCTGACCAAGAAGGCTGGACTTTTGCAGTGTGTGGCATCCTTTATTTCCCATCTGGACATCCTTCCTCCATGGCAGTGTACCAAAGAAAATAGTATATGTACTGCTGTTGGTCAATACGTTATGGTTATCCTCCTTTCCCACATCACTTCCTTTCTGACCTGGCTTTTTGACAAAGGCTTTTGGTTTTCTCCATTGAGGTCTGTCAGGCATCTTTGTCAGCCACATTTTATTTTGCATGTTATGCCCATATCTTCCACTTGCCAGTCTTGTCCCTTTTGTTATGTTCCCTCCACATCACCTGTCCTTCTTGCCCTCTCTCTCTCTCTCCCAGATTGGAACCCCAATGTCATAGTTCATGTTCTTACCCTTCCTCCTTTGGAACCCTTATTCTATATATCACCTTTTCATGAAGACTCTTTTCTCTTTTCCTCCTCCTGTTGGTGTGTGGGCATCATCGTTCAGATTCTTTGCTGTTGATGTTCACCATATCTTGTTTCACAGTTCCTATGTAGTCCTTTTCCAAATTTGTTCTTTTTTGCTCAAAACTTTGAATGCTCAGAAGGATAATTCTGCCTTCACACCGATCTCCCTTCTTTCGATATCACATATTTATGACCATTCTGATCCTGATGACCTCCTCTGTCTGGTCATGGCTCTCCACTGTTAAATGGTGTGCATTGATTCCTTCCATGGTTCTCACTCCCAGTGCTGTGACCTTTCTCACATTACCCTTATGGGTTGGATTTGCTAGTTGATTCACTTGGCTTATTCTATCTTAACTCTAATGATTGTCATCTTTTCTGTTTATCTTCCCATCAAATTCATTACTTTACCATATCGCTAGCTGTTCATTTCTGTCATCCATTGGAGGACATCATCAGAGTGGTATGTAGACCACTCCCCATACCTTTACTGCTCTTTATATTCACCACCTAGCCACTTCTTCTTCTACAAGGTTTCTTCTTCTTCCCATCTCCATTTTGCACTCCACAATTTCTCTTTGAGGAGATAAATGCACTTTTTTTCATATTCATTGCAGGTGCCTTTGTTGCTTAGTTGGATCCTGCTCAGTGTTGAATGTTGTCTGACCAGGTATACTTATTCTTAAATCTGCACTGTAAGACTTATGTGTTATACACGCCCACCTTTGAGATGTAGTGGTCTGCAAGACTGCTTGTAGGCATGCTTTGCAGTATTTTGCTTAATAAATATGTTCATCCTGGACCAGATTGATCTATATATTGTAGATCACAGGATCAATCTGCTTTTCAAAATAAGGTATCAGAGTCACTCATTGCACTGTCTATGGACTCTCCAGTGTGCTGTTTCCCTCCTTCTAGTGGAGTTTGGGAGTCCTTACCTCTTACCAGTTCCTAGCTGCTGGTGTGGTGGATCATAGAGGCTTCCTCCTGAGTGGCTCAATTCCACTCAGTTGAGAGTAGGACAGTGGTGTTCTGCTGGTGTAGATGATGTACAATTTCAGATATTGGATGAGGCATTCAGCCAACATGCAATTTTCTCTCTGACTGAGGGACCCTCCTTCCTACCATTCATTGGATATCGGTTCCCAGCAGCTGTGGTGATGATTGGAGCAGTACAAGCAACATAATTCCTCACATGTGTGGCCGGGTACCCTCCTCCTACCATGAACTGGATGATACATTCCCAGTGGATATGGTGCTGGTTGTATTGGATGTGTGCACATGATGACGTGGATCCTTGGTATGGAGGCTCATCCTCCCTACCAGTTTGATTTGTCATTGTTTTCAACATGTCTTTACCTTATGTTTGTTGGTAAACATATTTGCAAATTTTGTAGTTAATATATTAAGAAATAAATATAAGTGTTAATTTGAAAGAAGAAGAAAAGGTGAAGTAGGAATTGTACAAAAATATTAATTTTTTATAACCATTGTTTTGCACACATGGCAAGATATGATTGATTTCCATAGTAGTGTACATAGAAATTCAAGTTCATAGAATAGCTTAAGAAATAGGTATGGTAGTGTTATATGAACATATTAAAGCAAAAGCCTTGGCAACCCATTAATTTCATTATATAACACAAAGCACAGTAATCAGTTTGTTTTAATTTCTTTTTTATTGCTAAATCATAATTTTGAAACTAATTAGTAGTTTGTGGTAGTGATATGTACTGTAGAGCATTAACTGAATATTTTACCTACAACTTTGTATTGCACTGGATTCTAATGTTGAATTGGTTCTTAATTAGGGAGCTCTGTGTCATCCATATCTTTCCTTGCCATTCCTGGACCTCCTCACCAATGTCAATATAAGAAACTTTGTTGTTGGTGCAAACAATGTTTTATTTAGACAGAAGAAACATCTCTTTGATGTGTTAGTAGAGGTAAGTAACACTGATATTTCCAGGAGACAGGTAATGGTGAAAGTTTTTAAACAGCTTTAAAATATTCATTGCTGACAAATATTAAAAAAGGAAAATTTAATAAGTTTTCTTAAAATGTTTTATGTATACATACACTAAGTATATAAAAAAAGAGGGAAATAACTATCAATTTTGCATTTAATTCATGTTTCATTTAATGCATCATTTAAATAGCTTTAGAAATGATTTATTCATAGTTATACTACTGGTAATATGTTGTAATAGAAACAGTGAGCACCTTAAGATTGATCTTTACAGACTCAAGTTATTTTCTTCTCATTTTATATTTGTTGTATTGTTTCAGATAATTTTTGACAAGTTGTGTGTACATGAAAGAGAAAAAACTAATATGTAAAGATTTGTTTAGGGAAGATTCATTCTGTTTCAAGTTTTAATGTATATTTATTGATTCATTATGTGTAAAGCTTGTTTATGGATTCACAAGGACTAGCATTATACTGTAAGGTAATAATTATGTTCTGTTCAGAGGTAAACAGATGTGATAAGAAAATAATGTTGACTTACCTTTAGGTGCCTTATCCAATATTTTGACTGTAGCACTATCATTTCATCCTCAATATATTGGCATCATTTCCAGAATGATATTCAAGGGGATGTCAGTCATAATGAAACTTCTTTTCCATCTAACTGCTTTCTGACTCTCATTTTCACATGCTGAGAATGAGACTAGACTACAACAACCATTTGCATATCATTCAGTTAAATAGGTATAAATTTATAGAATTAACACTTTTAAGGAATTCGTTTAGTTAAATAAAAGAAAATTTGGTAATGATCTTAGTATTCTCCTGTTATCTCAATTTTGAATTATGGTATCACAGCAAAAATGCATCTTCAATAGATTTTCAGTTTACTTCAAATTTGAAAGATCATCTGGCACAATATATTTCTTCCAGTTTGGTAAAAATACTTCAAATCTATAAAAATAGCATCATGATCGCTACATAAATACTTTTTTAAGTTTTATATAAATAATATAAATGAACATATGATGTAATTTAAGTCTCCAGAAAATAAAAACTACTCTTGGTGCAAGTGAGAGTATTGACGAGAGTGGTCACAGTGACAATAAGAGTAAAGTACAGTTATTTAGAATTCCTTTTAGTGGCTGATTTATTACTCTTTTTTTTTTTAATGAGATATGTGTTCTTTCAGAAGTTCTGGTGATAATTAAAGTATTCCTGGATAGTGCTAATTCAATTCAGCATAGCTGGGTAGCAACTAACAACAGTTATTAAAATGCCATCATAGTAATTATTAACTGTGAATGATGCACAGAATGGGAAAAATGGCTCTTAGAAGATACATGAAATCCATCATCCAGTAAAAATTGGGTTCTTTGAAATTGACATTGTAGCCCAGGATTTTTTTTCCGTTAGCTTCTGTGGATCATGACGAAAACAAATATGTGTTATACTAACTTAGAGCCATTTATAAAGAACAAGCAATCCTTTGCTGTTTGGCAAATATATAATGTACAATAATGTACTTATTATCTCAAGAACAGCTACAAAAAAAGATGCAACTGTTTATATGTGGAAGTTATTTCTGAAATGTTTTGAATTACATCTACATTGGTCATGTAAAGTCTTATGGATGTAAGCCTATTGAACTGGTAAGTTTTTATTTGTCTAATTTCTAAATAAATTATTTTTCAGATTGAAGATTCCAGAATTGATATTTTTGATGCAGAACTCAGAAAACAACTCCACCTAACTACGGAAGATTTACGATTTGCTGATTACTTGGTCAGACATGTTAGTGATGAAAGCAGCGATATTTTTTTGGATGGAACAGGTGGGCTTGAAGAATAATATAGTAGCTAAAGTGTATATTTGATCTATAAATGCACATTTACATAACGTTTTTTTTCTTGTGTTTCGATGTACTTGGTAGTAAAGCATACTATCAAAGGGTGATTCAGGTAATAGATAAATAACATTATAAAGATTAACACAGCTTGAATGTTATTATAGGTTCTTCAAAAACATTCTTATTTGAATTTCTACAAAGTATGGTGTAATATTTGTTCCAGATACAATTATATAAACATCTTTAACTTGTGTTTTTTATATATAATAACTTTTCCATGTTAAATAATTTATCTGCTCATAATTTAAACTAACAGTTTTAAACCTATGCTGTCATCTTCTTGATGTTCTTATTTAAAACTGTTAACGTATAAACCAACCAAGACATAAAATACACTTTAACCCTATGTGCATAATGTTGGTTGATTAAACAAACCCATTATCTGTGAAGCTATACATAGTAATTTTTACTGTGGTTCTTAGTATACTGTATGTAGCTTCACAAAATTTGACAAGTTTTTAGTAACCATTATGAGTCTGTTGTACACAAAAAAATCAGGGTTTTTGTATATAGTATTTCTACTAAAGATTTGTCTGTAAATTCCTGAAGCCTTTACTGAGACAATCTGAGTGTAAGGTAATTTTCATTTTAAGAATAAAATGCATCAATGATAAGACTCTGGGACCAGATAATATTTCTCCGAGGGTTTTGAAAGAGATTAAGGATTAGATTTGTGAGCTACTTGCTACTATTTTTTGTACGTTTTTGAATAGTGGCAGGTGCAAGAGGATTGGAAGTTGGTTAATGTTTCTCCTCTGTTCAAGGAAGGTGATAAAAATTGTCCAAGTAATTATAGGCATATTAGTCTTACATCAGTTGTGGGAAAAGTTTGGGAAAGTTTGATAAAAGATGCTTTGTAAAGTCATTTAACAAAGTTTAGAATTTTATTAGATAGCCGACATGGTTTCACAAAGGGAAAATCTTGCCTTGCAAATCTTTTGACATTCTCTGAAAAGGTTACTGTGTATGTAGATGAGGGTAATTGAATAGATTTGGTGTATCTGATTTTTCAAAAAGCATTTGAAAAGTTGCCACATAAAAGGCTTGTAAAAAATTCTCTCTATAGGTGTAGAGGGTAAGTTAGCTAATTGAATAGAAAAGTGGCTGGATCGAAGGAAGCAGAGGGTTGTTATATATGGAGTTTAGTCAAACTGGATTAATGTTGGTTATCATAATTTGAGTTATAAGTTTAATTTGGATGAGATTAATCTTAACAGTGCTATGGATGAAAGGGTTCTTAGCATAGTAGGTGATCAGTTTCTTAAGTCATCCAAGCAGTGTGTTGTTGCTAGTGGTATGGCAAATAGGATTTTAGGTTGTACCTACAGAAATACTGAATACTAGTCTAAAGATGTTATAATTTTATTGTATAAGTCACTGGTTAGGCTACATTTGAAGTATTGTGCTTAGTCTTGGGCTCATTACCTTAGGAAGGACATTAAATTGTTGGAAAGGATTCAGAGGAGAATTATTAGAATGGTGCCTGGGATGCAGGGATTGTTCTACGAGGAGAGATTTAGATCTCTGAAATAGTTTCTGTTGAAAAAAGAAGAGTTAGAGGGGATATGATTGAGGTGTTTAAGATTGTAAAGGGAATAGATAGTGATGATGTATCATATTTTTTCATACTTTGTGGTGAGAATGGCAGGACTTGGGGACACAAATATAAATTTTGGCAGGGTAGGAGTCATATTTAGCTAAGACAGTGTTATTTTTCTAACAAGGTGCTCAACCCTTGGAATGGTTGATGTGGAGGCACTAAATTTAAATGAGTTTGAGAGAAAGCTTGATAACTGTATGGATTATAAGAGCTGGCTTTGAGGTTTTTTGTTTATTTATTTATTATTTAATAGTTTTAGTTTATCTTACAATTTCATATTTAATTTGGATCACCCCTAGCACCTCATAAATGAATATCAAAAGTTCTTTTTGGTAAAACTTTGTATCTTAACTGTTATTTTCTCTATTCTAACATTAGCTTTAGTGAAATTATCAATGTACAGTGAAAGTTGAAAAACATGAAATAAAATTAACAATAATTTTTGTTTCTTCTTTGCTGGGTTGTCAGTTTTTTTAACTTCACAGTTTCAACTGCTAGCCTTTTCACATCTGTTTTCTTTTAATTTCATTCTTTTATTACCTGTACTATATGCTGCTGTCCTTTGTCAAAAACAATAGATCACAGCAAAAGACCATCAGCCATCTGTGATAAACACCACAAACAAAATGAGTGACTCACATAATCATTGCAACTGCAAGCCATAATTGTGCTAGGCATGAATTTTTTATGCTAAGCTAGTTGTTCAAATAGAAATTCCTCTAGCATTAAAATATGTATTTTAGAATACAATAAGTATATCACTAGAATATAATATACTATAATTTAATTGTTTTTTGAATAAAGCCAAAAATAATCAAAAACTTCCATTAGCTGCTTGAAGCTGAAGAACAACAATCACAGATGAAGAACCTTGGGCTTTGTACATAGGCTCGCCAAAAAAATATAATATGATTTCCAATATGCTCGGCAAAAAAATATAATATGATTTCCGATACAGTACATTACCTGCGTTCACTTGTATAGCTAGTCTCACTCAGTGCTACCCTCTATATGCAAAACATTCTTGCATGCCAAAAGCCTTGAACTCCCACATACCTGACAATCAATGTGGTTCAACTTTTTGGTGTAAGTTAAGACCAATCTTTTAGATTTTAAATTAAGCTTTTATTAAAATTTGTATTGGTTTAAGATTATGAAAATGCAGCACAATGAGAAGTTTTAAACATAGTAATTTTGAGTAAATAGAGTTATATCCTGTTATTTTAATATTTTCAGGTTGGGAAGGTGGTGAAGAATGGGTCAGAACCCAATTTAAACTGTATTTATTAAGCCTACTAAGGACAACACAGTCAGAAGGTACAATCTTTTTTATGATTAAGTTTTCTTCTTGTTTATCTTTGATCTTTCGTAAACTTTGTATTATTGACATGAAGTATTTTGAAATGTTTATTAATAAAGGCTTTGAAACTAGTAGACTTAAGTATTTGAAATGTTTTAAAATGTTTAGTCTTTATTTTAATTTTTAATAAAACTTGAAGTTAGCTTTAGCTATGCAAAAAATTTCCCACAGGGGCTTAAGGCTGGTAAAAACTTTTAGCCATGGATTTCTTGGAGTAGACACTTAGCAAAAATAAATATACAATTAAGATTTATTGTTACAATGTATGACAAAATGGATTTTGATACAGTAAAGATGCTTGTATTTTTATTATGTAATTAACTATAACACAAAGAAAAGAATAAAGTGTGATCAACAAATTTTAATAGAATGATTAACCCTAGAAGTATTAGTCTTTTGATTCTAATTTTGTGGCCTGGCGTAGCCTAGTGGTTAGTGTGGTCAGCTCACAATTCCATTCACTGAACATTTTGTCCTTTTCAGCCATAGGAAAATTATAATGTGAAGATCAATTCCATTATGCTTTGGTACAAAGTAGCCCAAGAGTTTGTAGTTAGTGGTGATGACTAGCTGCCTTCTAGTCTATCACTTCAAAATTAGATATTGATAGTGCAGATAACCTTCGACTACCTTTGCACAAAATTCAACAAACAAATAATTATTCTAACTTCAAGATGTATGTACAAATAGTTCTCATTCTATTTAAACTTTTTTTACTCAGAAATAATTTAGAATTAATATTTTTTTCATTATGTAACACCACACCCCTCTGGTAGCTCAGCAGTAGGTCTTAGGGATTGTAATGCTAGAAATTGGGTTTCAATACCTATGATGGGCAGAGCATAGATAGCCCATTGTGTAGCTTTATGCTTAAATACAAACAACCATTATGTAACATTAATTTAGTATAATTCCCAAATTTGAAATTTGTGTGACTCTGTGGACTCTCCTTTGTAAAGAATGTATATATCGATTTGTTTAGATTTTCTGCACATCCTAAAGCATAGTTTCATGTATGTTAAGAAGCTGTCATTCCTTGAAAATATGATAAAGTAAGTGGTCTAAACAATTACTGATCAAGCTTGTTTTTGAAAATAGTAGAGCCACTGGCTAAAAACAATTGGATAGAAAAGATTATATTCTATCTGTGTCATTATAGAACAGGTAAAGTGGTTTGAGCAGTAATTTGTGATTACTTCAGAATCGTTTTCAAATTCTTGAATTATGCCTTGGTTTATAAAACTTAACTATTTCATCTCATTGTTTTCCATGTGTATAGCACATTGTTTTTAAGTTTTTAGGAAACTTTACAAGCATGTACATACAGAATAAATTTTGTGAAGTAAATTGAAGAGTTATGTCATTTAAATTTTTTAAAATAATTGCATGTGCGTGTAAATATATACAACAAAGTGTTATGATCATTAATTTCACCAACCAGTTATGTTCAGGGATGGTTAAAGGAAAAAGTTTTTAACAGTTAAAGAAGTTGCTGTGTCTCAAATACATAATTATCAGCTAACTTTCATATGCATCTCTATTAGTTTAATCATGTTTTAACACCTATCTAGAATTGTAGGGTGTTATTGATATCCCCTATTTGCATTCTCGTACTTAAAATACTTAACCAAATCCCATGAAACTTGTACCAGCTTTCTACATAGTTGTCTAGTTTGTTTATGAAAAATTATATGATTTTGTATTTGTTTCATTTTTTTAGAAAGTGAAATTTTTGAAATTTTGATGTGAAATGCCATTTTGAAAAACATTAGAATTAATTTCTTTTTTCTTAAGTCTTTGTATGTTTTTTTTTATTGTTGATCAGAAAGTTCCATTTTAAATATCCAATGAGTTTTTTCTTATTTGATGTTCATTAATACTTTGTACTTTAGTTTACTGGTAGAAGAAGCTCACTTTCCATTAATGATTCATACAAATGCCATGTAACGACAAAGATTTATCAGTGACCATGACCTCAACTTTTAAAATTGTTTCATTGTTTTCTTTGTTAAGAGTTATAGCATGACATTTTGGCAACAAAATTTTTGGTAGAGGTCAATTTAAGTTTAATAGTTATAGTTTCTTTTCAGGAATTAAGAATTTCTTGTATATTTGTATATTTTGTTTGAATACAATAAACTTAATAATACATTCGATAAAAAAATAACTTATTTTATTCATATAGTTTGCTTTCACAGATTACATGCAGCAAGCTAAACATAATTTATTTTCATCTAATATCTTGACTCAGGAGAATAGGAAAGTATTACCGTATCTAGAGTGAAAATAACATCAAAAGAAGCTATGAAAAATTTTCAGCTCTGTGGCTTCTTCCTCAATGTTCAAAACTTTTTGTTTGGATAATTTATTCATCTAATGAGAACTTTAACTGGCTTCCATGGGAACAAACCACAAATTGTTTCTGAAATCACTTTGTTTACTGTATAGTGAGGTAGACATATAAATCTAGTAATCCCTCAACTGTACCTGTTTTCAATGTTGAGCTTTATTGGGAGTGATTAAGACTCTTCACTAGCACAGGAAAATCAAATATTTGTATTAATAAAATTACTGACAGAAAATGACACTGAACAGAAGACATTGATTGTAATATTTCCAAAGAATGATAGTTCATATAATAAACCTAAACTGAAATAAGAAAAATTATCAATAAATCAATAAGTAAGACTGCTTGGAGCTGCTTAGAAATTATATTTGAGACATTTTTTTATTTTTTGTTGTGAAATACACTCAATAAATAATATGTAATGCAAAAATATCTATTATAGAATATTTTTGAATGAAAAATAGTTGAAATAGGATTAGAATAAGGATAGTTGCAATGTGTAGACTTTTTTCACAAAACTAGATTTACTTTCTTTTCCCTTTACAGGTTTAGACAGTATACAAATTGCTGGCCATATATTATCCAGGACAACATAAAGAAATTGAAACTCAAGACCACACCTCCGCTATCATTCCTTGCTGTTGTCCTGAAGTCATAAAGAATAATGCATGTGGTCATAGCACCCAAATGCGTTGGGGATATTCCATCTATCAGACAAAATCCAAATGCTGATGAAAATCTTGCCAGCAACTAAAAAGAATCAGTTAAGGGTTAGGAGTTGAGTGCTTGAACACACAACGTGTATTATATTATTATTTATAACATCAGTCAAAAGGGTGGAGGTTGGGAGTTTTACTTTGTATAATTTGTATCGGGTTGGTTTAATTCTACATTAAAGTTATTTCTAAATATTAAGGGTTACTGCCTTCCCGTAACTGGCTACAGACAGTGAAAGGCAGTTGGAGTTCAGATGTTGTAGTTCAAGCACTCAACTCTTAACCCTCAACTGATCCTCCTTAGATGCTGGCAAGTTTTTCATCAGCGTTTGGAATTTGCCTGACTTAAGGATGACAGCAAGGAATGGTAGCAGAGGCGTGGTCTTGAGTTTCAGTTTTATTATGTTGTTTCTGACTTATATTAAGTTCATTATTGTTTTATAGTGCTGACTTTAATCGCCTATAAATAATCAATGTATTGCATAGCATTGTTTTTCTTGATTTATTTGTGTGTGTGTGTATATATATATATATATATATATACACGAGTTCCCATAGCCATTTTGAACTATAATTGCACCTTGGATTATTAAAAAATGATTATAAGAGTCTGAAGAAACAAATGGACCAAGAAGCTCTAAGGTCTTATGATACATCAAAACTTCAGTTATAAAACAAAATTTTTTCTTTTATTGTTAAACAGTTTTCTGTTAAGCAAAATTTCATTTTGGACATAATTAATTTTTTTTTTGGAAGCATTTTGTCAAACATTTTTCTCTCTCTTGTGAGGCAAGTCTACCCTTCATTTCTCTCGACAGAATTAAAAATAAATTAGTTTATAAATACAAAGAAAGAATTGTTTAGAATATCATGACTAGCAAGTGGAATGGTTGTATAAAAGTAAGGTCACCACATAAATGAATTCATGATTTTTGTTCTTTTGGATCTTATACAGATTGTGGTAAAGAGGCAGAAGAATTTAATTCCAGTTTTGTAATGGCATGGAAAACCACACATAACTACAAGATGTGGAAAAGTGGGAATTATCTAGGTATCTTGGAAGTCAATCCAGTGTAAGAAAAGTTTATGTAATACTAATAATATTTAAGTTTATCACAAGTGTAAAGATATTCCTACATTTTTTTTATCAGGTGGGCAGTAGCACTGCCTTTGTATGGATGGCTTAGATTGTTCATCAAAATGGTATTTGAAATATCGTTTTGATAGGTCATCAGAACTTTA